GGGTGCCAGACCGTTGCAATGCAATTGTATATGAAAGTAAAATGTCAAATGATTGGAAGAAAAGTTGTACAAATATTCATATATATATATATATATATATATATATATATATATATATATATATATATATATATATATATATATGTATATATATATATATATATATATATATCAGGCCTTGCGATAAAGCGTCGGGCGATGTGAATTTTACGTCGTCCAAGAGCGATTTTGCGTGTAGCTAGGGCTATTTGCGTCGAGCAAAAAAATTTTTGTTTGAGTATATTTAAAGATATTTTTGAGCGGAATTTTAATGAAGTAATTTACGAATATTTTAACATTTAATAAAGTATTTTAAAAACCGCACGCAGTTGAAAAAGTTTGAATTTAAAAAAATTAAATATGCTCATTATTTACAAGTAGAAAAAAATCAAAAATTAAAAAAAAAGTTTAAATCTTTTAAGCTAACATTTAATTAAAATTATCTAACATTTAATTAAAATTGAACAAAAATACTTTCTTTTAGTTTTAGATTTTAAACTTAAATAATTATTTTACGGGGGTTTGTTAGGATTTAAAATTATTCCATAGATTTAAAAATATTTATTAACTGTTAGACGTATTTAAAGTATTTAAGAGTAATTTCGAGGAAACATTTTAAAAATTGGTGAGGGCAAATAAAAAAATAAAAAAGGATTAATATTAAAACGTATTCTACTTGATTCAATAAAAAAGTACAGTTATTAAAATTTTTGTAAAAAGTAACTCAAAAAAATTACTTAAATAATAACGATCGCTTTTATGTTAAAGTTACCGAAACTCAACGAAGCGTGCTCAAGAACAGCTGCTGAAAAATAGAACGTCAATAGTTTTTCGAATAATTTTTAAGAATAATTTTTTCGCTGAAATATTTCTTTTATTCCTAAAAAATTTTTATTCTAACATATTTTTTTTTACTAGAAATAAAATTCCTTGTTAACATTAAAAATCTGGTAGGCTCTCTTGTCAAACCCCTATTCCGACGCTGTCCTCTAAGTCCGCGAAATGGCGAGTTATAAAGCTTTAAAGATTTTTTGGCGAAGTTACGGAGTTGAGTAAAACTTGTGTTTGAATAGAAGCAATTATTTAACAAAAGTTTACACTGGCAGGAAAAAATTACTTGTTTAATAATACTTTTTATATAATCATAAGGAATAGAATGGAAAGTTAATCACCACGACGTAAAAATATTTTATTTATAGTCAACATTAAAAAAATTTTAACTTAAATTAAGTTAAAAATCTTTAAATTCATTAAGATGTCAGGGTTAGGGAACCCTTGACTGAGATGTTTTTACATAATAAATAACTTTAAACTTCACACTGTTAACAACATGTAAAGATTTTACATGTTTTTAATAGTGTAAAATTTAAAGTTACTGTTAAATTTATTCTTCCTTCCTAAAGTTACAGTTAAATTTATTCAAACTTCCATATGTATGTTTGACTGAGACGGTTATATGGCCATTAACATTTAAATATTAAATAAAATATTTTTTAAAATTATCTAAAGTTAAAGGTTTAATTTATTCAGTCTTCTACTCCCAATTACTTATTTACTGTGTACTTTTCAGTAAACAAACTCTATTTAAATTGATACTCTTTTACCAAGTTTTTTTGTAGCCAATTGGTCAATTCTTTTAAGTTTTTTAGAAAATGGCAACCGTGGAAGAAATCAGTAAATATTTTTCTTTTTTTAAATTTCTTTATTTACTTTTCTGTTATTAAATTAATTATATTTTATTATTAATATTAAGTTTGTTATTGTATTTATTTTTACTTTTTGTATTTATAATTAGAATTTATTATAATATTTATTTTAAGGCAATGAAGTGATTAATACCACATTTTCTGTGTTTGGCACTCTACAAAATGCAGAAGATTCAATTATTAAATATGAGATGCAAACATCCTCAAAATTTTCAACGTTTAAAAAAGATAAAACTTTTAGCGTAAAGGGTATAGATTTTTTAAATTTGTTTCTTAGTTTGCTTTATTATTTATATATTCATTGTTATTTATATGCATAAATAATATTTAGTTCATTTTTTAAGGGATTAAGGTTATTTTTGTTAGATCTTACTGCTACTGGTACCATGTAACCCAGTAAAACCTGCCTATTATCATGCTGTCTTGTAGGATATGCTTTTTTGAAGACAGCTGGTAGTCAGGTTTACCAAACTCTGTGCTAGCTCTCAAAGAGGTTGATTCCAAAACAGCTGTAAAATATGATAGTACTAACAGTGTATTGAGTACTATCCATGCTATCCGTGAGTCAAGTTCTTTTAAAAATCCAAAAATGAATAGTGTACCAAAAAGTATAATACATATCAGTAATCTTATAATTATTTTTTTTTTCAAATCCTTATTTTCGCAAAGTTCACTTAACCTTTGTTAAACTAGTTTAAGTTCGCTATCTTAGTGTTCATTGATATCTGTCTTTGATTTATTAAGATTGTAATATTCACACGATTGGCCTAGGCATTTACATACTTAACAATTCACTAATTTGTTAGGTGACTTTGGTTTAAATCTAGGTTTGAATTTTCTGAGTATTCTTTTATATTCTTTCGTTTTGGAATGTTTTTTCTGACCAAGCTCTTTCACTTTATTCTTTTGCTAATATTGTTGTTGTTGGTGACTTGTTGTTGCTAGGCTATTCTGTATGAGAGTGAATCGCCTAATAGTAATGTGTTGTAAAGGTACAGCAAGTAAATTGTCCAACATTTCCTATTTAAAGTTTTTTTGAATTCGACAATGGATATAAGCTATAGTTTATATCCACTGTCAAATTCAAAAAAACTCTTCATAGGAACTGTTGAAAAGGAAATGTTGTTTTTCTTAATTACAATTTACCTGCAATATATATATATATATATATATATATATATATATATATATATATATATATATATATATATATCCTTATAGTGTAGTCGAAAGAGACTTTTATGGTAAAAAAAAGTCTCTTTCGACTACAATTTTTTTACCTTGTCTCTTAAGCTGCATTTTATTGTTGTCGAAATGTCAAAGCAATTAAATTAATGCGGAAGTACATTAAATTTTATTGTTTTTTTTAAAAACCGCAATAATAATGACTAGAAAGTTTTTTTTAATTAGTTATTTTTCTGATTTTGTTTTATTAAAAAAACATTTTTAAAGCATGCGTAAGTGTTGCTACATCGATTATCTTATAGTCTGCTGCTACAAGGGAGTGTTGCTACATCGACTATCTTATAGCCTGACTCGCACCAGAGTACTGCTACATTGACTTACAAATAATAATTGTGTTTGTTAATCTGTTAATTAGTACTGATATGGATATAATAACAGTAGCACTAAATATATTTTATACATTCTTAAATATTTGTACATTCGATATATATGTGTATATGTAAATACGTATATATCGAATACTACTATCTTTCTACTATCTGTTACATCTACTAATTTATTGCTCTGTTCTTTTAAGAACATTGAGCACTCCATTTTATAGAATGCATTTATAATTATATGTATATATATATATATATATATATATATATATATATATATATATATATATATATATATATATATACATATATGTGTATATGTGTGTGTATATATATATATATATGTGTATATATACACATATATACACACACACATATATATTTACATGCATATATGTATACATGATTAGAAGCTTACTGATTTATGAAAAATGAAAAAACATGAAATGACTAGAAAGTGTATGTGTCATAAATGTATTTATATTAAGATTTAATAATAATGTTAACGCTATATGACAAACTCTTGAAAAGATGCCTAACCCACCTTTTCGAAATTTCGCAGGTTATCACTTTAAACCACATTAAAAGTGGGTTAAAGTGGTTACCATGGAAATTTAAGAAATGTGAGAAATGAATGTATTATATGTAGGGTTGGATTGGCATCAGCCTGCCAATGCATCTACCATTTAGCTGATGCATTGACCATTTAGCCGATGCATCGGCCTAGGTAACCATCGGCCAATCCCGATGGTTTTAAGAACAGTTTTTATTTTTTGTCTATAATGCAATTATTAAAAAAATATAAATAATAGTTATTGCTGACCATTTAAGGATTCAGGTAGATAAGGTAAAATTTTTGCAAGTTTTCTCATTAAAAATATTTTTGTCTATTATTTTTGTCAATTATCTGACTTCAACCTCTTTTGTTGACTTTGTTTCTATATTATTGTATTTTGTGCCTTCCAGAAGACCACCAAAAATAGTTTAATGTTAATAATATATTGCGACCTTCTTTTTCTTAAATCTGAAAGTAAAAAAAAAAAAAAAAAACATAATATAAAATGAAACCATTAAAGTTAACCAAAAACATTCAAAAATTTTTTTAGAGGGCTGGTTTGTCACTACAAGTTGATTCTAAAATTATTTCCAAAATTTATCAATTAGTTGGAGAAGGGATCCGAAATCCACGTGAAATGCAAAGATCTATTCGTGTATATGTAAAAGACGAACTATTTAGAGGACTAGAATTACCACCAACATCATCTAGAAGATACTACCCAAAAATTCAAGATATACGAAATCATATGTATAAAGCTGCTACAAAGTTTAAATTTTCTAAACTGGATCAAGAAAATCTCCAGCAAAAGGTTGAAGAATGGAGAAATAAATACCCAAGAGATAAGTTTTATTATCGTGGTTACGGAGAAGTTACAGACCATAGCAAAGAATTAGAAGTTTCAGAAAAATTTAACAGAGAAAATGAAGAAGATATTTTTGTAAGTGAAAGTTGTATTGGTATATTATGATTATTTTGAGTATAATGAAAGGAAAAAATGATACTATAAAAAAAATAATTTAATAAATCAAATGCATTTTTATACTTATTTTTATCTTTTAGTAAAATGTTCTTAATATGTTTAATATATCTAGAAATGTATCCCTGGCAATATTTTTGATGTGATAAATTTTTATATAAATTTTAGTAAGCTTTAGAGATTATTTTTTATTTTAGTTTTATATTTAGTCTAACATACTTCCTACAAAACAAAAACTTCTTTTTATTCACCAGACAATAAGTCAAAAAGAACTTCTTTATAAATATGGCAATCATATATGCCTACTAGATGCCACTTATAAATCTACTAGATATTCAATCCCGTTGTTCTTTGTTGTTGTAAAAACAAACAGTAACTATCAGGTAGTAGCGCCCTTTGCAGTGCAAGATGAAACTACTGATACAATAACAGAAGCACTAAAAAAATTAAGTCAGTGGAATCCAGAATGGAACCCTAAGTGTTTTATGACTGATAACTGTGAGGCAGAAATTTTATCAATCGAAAATGTTTTTAAAGGTTGGTTTGTTATATTTAATTATAATTTCTTTTTGTTGTTATAGCTTCTTTGTTCATGCGTATACATAGGTAAGGTATATTTATGGTAAATTATTATCCTGTGTAATTAGAGTTGCTGCCCTAACTGATGTTCTGAAAGTGTTTGATAATTTTTTGTGAAAATGGTTGATTATTTTTAGTAATAGATGAAGTTGTTATATATACAGGGGTGTGTCCTTTGGTCATTTCATGGTGTCCCTGCAGCTGAAATATTTTCTTACTTGAGTTGTCTGCAATGATAACCAGTAGGCCGGTAATATCTAAAAATGTATTAATGCGCCATAGTGTAATTATTTTTAAACGTAGTGTATGACTAAATTAAATACTTTTTGAAGGTTTCTTTTAAATAATTGCAAGGAATGAAATCTTATATTAATAATAAACATTTTTTTGTAAGTAACAAACTGCCTGGTTGTCCTGCTGGGCTACCAAGAGAAATTTTATTTGAAATTTAAGTCACCATTTTAGAAAACAAGTTTTCCTGTGCCACCGCATGACTATCAGGGTACACCCCTTATAATAGAAAAGTGTTTACACCTCTAATATACCAAATTACATTAGGGGTGTAATCCCATAAAAGTAGCAAAGATTTGTCTATGCTAAGTATATATATATGATAATAGAAATAATTTTTAATTAATTGATTATGTCAAAAAATGTAATTTCTATAGTTGGTGAATGTCATTCACCAAACCCTCTAGTGCCTTTATCAGTTATTCAAGCGGATATCATAAAAGCTGATGTAGTACATATGTTGTGGGATATAGATTTGCAGAATAATAAATGTAGTGAAAAATATGGGTTCATTAGTGTTAGAGCTATTTTAGAGTTAAGAAATTGTAAAAAAATAATATTAACCTTAAAGTACCCTGGATTTTAGGATTATTAGTGCCTAATTTCCTCTAAATTAAAGACATAAGTTACATATGTAATAAATTTATATTTGAGTGTAATGATTGTTTTTAAGATTGCTTTGTTATTCTCTGTGATTTTCACCGTGAGCAAGCGTGGGAAAGATGGTTGTCTGCTAATGCAAATGGAATGAGATCAGTCAAGCACACTGCTCTTTGTTTACTTAGACGAATAGCTGCTTCTGAAACACAGGAAGAATATGACATTGCTGTACAAGCTCTACACAAGGATCCAATATGGATCTCTACAAATAGCATTAAATTTAAAAATTACATAGAAAACACATGGTTGCCTGAGAAAAAGGTAGGATCTTGTTGCTTACAAGTTTTATGCAATATAACCATTTATTATCCTATTATGTATCCTATTATGTGTATGAATTGACGTAATACTGGCTTTTTTCCTTTATGTAGCGTTGGGTCAAAGCATTCAGAAGTGGAATATTAGAGACAGTTGTAAATACAAACAACGGTGTTGAGCGAAAGAACAGAGATTTCAAACATGAGTTTTTAAATCAGTGTAAAGATAACTCGTTAAGTGGAATGGTGACAGTTCTTGTTGATTAATTTATTCCTGAGACATACAGCAGGTAAACTTTTGACAAAAGCAATTATACTGAAAAGCAATTATACTTTCATTATACTGAAATGACAATGCAAACATTCGTTGTTAATTGATAATATAGACATATATTGTCAAATTTATTAGAATAATAAAATGGGATTTTATTAGTTTCTATGTATATGCAGTTTTTTAATAGACCTTTCTATTCTTATTAAAGTTTTTATAAATTTTAATAATTATTGTCTTGAGAATAATCTTAGCAAATAATTTATTATTATTCATTCTTTAAGGTATGTGGAAGCTAATATTTATCGCTGCTCAGACTACAGACTCTACAATAGCAACCTTCCAAAATGGCTTTGTAATAAACCTGAGAATTTCACAAGACATTGTATAGAAAAGATTGGTCTTGTGAAGGACTGCAATAACCTAAAAATTACATTCCATGAAAATTCTAAGAATAAGCAAATGTATGAGGTAAAAAGCTTCACAAGTGCAAAAAGTTATATTGTCACTATTGGAGGTCAAGACACTAAGTTCCCTGATTGCCAATGCATAGAATGGAAGAAAACATTGATGCCATGCAAACATATGGTAGCAATCTTTCAACATTGCGATGGAGTTAGTTGTATTTACTGCCAGATAGTTACCGATTATCTCCATACTTTTGTTTGGATAATTCAGTCATTTATGGTAATGAATCTTGTCATGAAGAAGAATCTAATATATGTTTTGAAGACAACTTATCTGAGACACAAGGTCATGTTATTTTGGAAAATGTGCAGAATAAAATATACCCTAAGCAAACAAATGCATCATCATGTAGAGATATCCTTTCTCAAATAAAAACATTAAGTTACTTAGTTTATGATGAGATTGTGGTTAAATCCTTAAAATTTAAACTTCAAGAAATCCTAAGAAATGAGCTTCAAACACTTGTCCCTAAACACGACAACATCCCATTATAAAAGAATGAAGTTACTAAGAAAAAAAGGTGTGCATGTGCAATTTCATATAAATTACCTAAACCAAAAATTTTGAAAACAAAATTTACCGGCAGAATTGGAATTTCGACAAAAAAAAGAAGAATTGCATCTAGTATAAAAATTTTAGAAAAAGAAAAGGAGAAACAAGATATAATTGAAGAATATGCACCTTTAGACGATTCTTTTTACAATATTCCTATCGAACCAATGTGATTTGTCTATTTTTTAATCAAACCAAACACTTGAGGCCCGAAAACCCTAACAAATATTAGAATCACTGGTTTGGACCTTTCAATAGTCCAATCACACTTCAGATTTATGGTGACAAGAAGAGAATAAGCTCAAAATCAAAAAAATTTTAAGAAGGACAAACAGTTTTTATTAATTCTTTTAAATGAAGATTGTAAATATTTTAAATTTATTAAAAAAAAGTTTGATTTGAAGTTAGAGTTTAACTTTTTAGTGAGACTGCTTAGAGAAAAAATAGTTGATAACAACAATTGTTAGTCAATAGTATCACTTTTAGTTAATTGGTTTTTTTAGTTTGGCTTTTTTTTAGAAATATTTCAGGTCTTTATTTTAATAAAGTTTTTTTTAAAGTTTAGATGAAGCGTTTGAGAGGATCTGTCAGTATTTTTATTATTAGTTTTTAAAATAAATTAAATTACTTCTTTACTTTAGACTCAATGGAACCTGGGGTATGAGTCTTATTACATTGTATTATTCCTAATATAAGTAGGAGTCCAATATTGTCTAGTTAAGGTTTAACATTATTTCTGTTGATTTTCTTTAAAAGCTTTTTTTTTATGTCATATTGTTAAAAACCAAGAAATATTTTTATATTTCAAGGTTTTTAACAACATTTTTTGTATATCAATTAATAGTTAATTATATAAATAATATAGTTATATAAATAAGTAAACTTTTACATGTATGAATAACAAAATATGTTTTTTAATATTTTCTTTCTTTTTTCTTTTTTTTTCTTTAGTGTCTAGCTTTTGTTTAAATTTGGTTGAACCTACTGTTGAGATATGGTTTTAATTTGGTAAATTTTAATGATTTGAAATTTACTGTATTGATCATTAGCCAATAGTTTAAAAAGTAAACTGAGTTCATCATAATTAAGGTAAAAAAAATTTGTTTTGTGGCAATATATCTATTTTTGATGTTAATAATAATTTTTAATAAACTTACGTTAATAATGATACGTTCATATTATTTTAATCATTTAATAAATATTTAAACTGATAATAATCGGTAGAGTACCTGTGTTCAGTTTTCTGCAAAAAAATCAGTGAATGATGAGTGAAATTGGGTTGAATTTTGATAATTATAATGAGTGAAGTTGGCTTGAATTTTGAAAATAATAATCAGCGAAATCGGGTGGAATTTTGAAAAAGTCACGGAGTAATCGAGGAAATGGCTGTGTGGCTAACTCACATTACATATGTCAAATGTATATAATATATTTTTAATCTAAACATTTTTAAAGTAAACAATTTCCCGGCAAATTTTTTGTTTTATTTTCCCTGCAAATTTTTCGCATGACGCTTCGAACAATTGCTAAATATAATTTCGCCATTAAAAGGCAAAATATTCAAAGTACGTAATAAACATTATTTTAACATAACCAAATAACCAAACTATAAAACTTTTATATACTAAATATTTTATTTTTATTATAAGTATTTGATTTTATAATTAAGCAAAATATAATAAAAAGTAAAGCCAACTTATTAAATGGTATTCTCCTTGTGGCGGTGCGCTGTGACAAGACCATTAGGATTTTTTAGAGCATCTTGATAAAAAAAAAAAAAATTAAAAATAAACTCCGTAGCAACTCCATCGTGAAATCTTTAAAGCGTTATAACTCGCCATTTCGCGGACTTTAAGGACAGCGTCGGAATAAGGGTTTGACAAGAGAGCCTACCTAAAAATCTATTCAAAACGTTCGTTTAAGTTTTTTATTAATACGAGTGATTGTGCTTATCAACCGCTTTATGAAAATAAATAAAAATAAATAAATATTATATAAAATCGCTTGTAAAAAATATTAGCTATTGCACAGTTTTTAATCGTACAATATTAAAATTTCCAGTTTATTACTCGCTGACTTTTTAAAAAGAAAAAATAATTATTTGAAAAACTTTAAATTACATATTTAAGAAAAAAAAAATCAAATATTAGCATATTTTATAATCATTTTTAAATTTAAGTTATAATGTTTTTATTCGTTTAGTATAGACAAAACGTGACAAACGTCGAGAAAATAAACAAATTTAAAAAACGAAACATTCCAAAACATTTTTAAATAATAACATTTCTACATAAACGATTTAAAGTAGTTTTGCGGTAATTAAGTAAATTGGTGCAGTTAATGTTGATAAATATGAAAAGCAAATAAAAAGAATTTAATGACGTCAAAAATCACGTCGTGCTTATGCGTCGCGCAGTTCTTATTCATCGCAAGGCCTGATATATATATATATATACATATATATATATATATATATATATATATATATATATATATATATATATATATATATATATATATATATATTCAACTAATAATTTTGAAGTAAAAATAAACACAAAAATAGAAATTAAGTATTCCATACCTATTGCTCTCAAACAAACAATTAATGTGATTTCTTTTCACAACCACTTTTTTGCATAATTTAATCTTATTTAATTATTTTAATAAGACTTCTTCTTGTGATTCAACCTTTCTGATTTTTGCATTAAAAACCACTTCTTCTCGTTATTTAACCTTTCTAATTTCTTTAACAACCTTTTTTTTCTTTAACAACCTTTTTTTTCTTTAACAGCCTTCTTTTCGCTTTTCAGCCTTTTTGTGTTCTATAATAATCACTTCTTTTTCCGATTTAATTTGTTTGTTTTAAAATATTACCTTTACAGAGTCCTTGCATAGCTTAAAAAAAAAAAGAAAAAAAAATGGATTTTATACAAATTTAACCAAACTTATTCATTAATTTTTTATGAAAAAGTTTGAAAATGATAATTAAACAATATTAGCACTAACTATATTATTAAGTTAACAATGTATATAGTACACACAGTATAAATAAAAATGTACGACACATTATATAGTACACTGTACAATAAAATCTGTACGATATAGACAACTACTCAGTATCATACATTTAGTAAAATTTAAATGATTTACATATTGTATATTAGTGTATAATCTAAAGTTAAGACTCAACTTGAGAGTTAAGACTTAAGTCGTAGCTCCCACGTTAAGGCTAAATTCTCAACTCTTATACACACAATGTATGTAGTATATGTATACATTCTGTATCATACAGTGTATACACTGTATGATACAGAACGTATACATATACTAAATACATTGTGTGTATAAGACCTAAGAATTTAGCCTGTACATTGTACATCATACAGTGTACATGTACACTGTATGATACATAAAAATTATATATGATACAGAAAACTACGACGAAGTCTGTGGACAACTACGAAGTCTTCGTAGTTGTTAAAAAATTAAGTCTTAAGTAAGTAATAACTATGTAGTTGTGTCTATCATACAGTACTCCTCACGTGAATTTAGTCTTAAGTGAAGTTCAACTCAACTTAAAGTTGAGACTTAACTTAATAAAACCATTTTTTAACGAAAGATTTAAAAATGCATGTTTAAAGATATACAAGCAACAACATGTTTGTATTTTTTTTTATTATGATCTGATATTCCATTCAAAATTAATCACAATTATTATAAAATCATTAATTTTCGAATTCAAAGCCATATAAAGCAATTCTCTAGTAAAAAGTTATAGCTATACAACAGTCTTTCAACAGCCTGTAAATATGGCCGAAAACTTTAATAACGCTAAAACCTGTAACACACTGTACGCATTTAAAAATCTAAATAATGTGTAGTATTCCGACGTTCGCCCGACGTTGGTCCGACGTCAGCGCTCATATTATAAAACTGTCCAAAGCTTTCGACGTTGGCCCGACGTTGGCCCAAC